AGTGCAGTGGCTCCAATACTAAACTTCATATTAAGAAGTGGCAATGGGCTGATTCATACCCAGAGATAAATCCAAACACTCTGTGATACCTACTTGGCCCCAAATAACTTTGCACATGCTCCCCTTCAAGGGCCTGGCACATCAATGCCAGAACAAATGAAAAATGGTCAGCAGGCAGCAGCAGAGTGTGCCCGACCCCAGCATGGGCTGGAAGGAAGAGGAGGGGAAGTTGTGGCCCCCCACACCCCCAGCCTGGGATGGGGCTGCCACACCACATCAGGCAGCCTGGCCACAGCCCCCTCCCTCCCCTTCCCTCTTCCCCACTTGCCCCTTCCAGCATCTCATGCCTGCTCTGTAAGCAGAGCATGGGCACCGGCTCCTGTGCTGCTGGCCTGGCCACGGAGTTCCCTGCAGCCCACCAAACCCCCACCCCCACTGCTTTCTCCAGCTGGAGAACAGGCAACCCTCCCCTCCCCCATGCCCTGTTGCAGCCCCAGGCCTCGCTCCCTCTGCCCTGACCAAATGTCCGGGATCTTGCTGTGCTCTGGGGGTAGAAGCAGAGGAAGATGATCAGAGGCAGTAGGGAGCACCGCATGGGTCTGCACCTCCGCAGCTGCAGGCAGGTACGTGTGCGCTCCCCGCTGCTTCAGATCGCCCTCCCCCTGCTCCCACTGGTGGAGCAAAGGAATGTCCTGAACATTTGGTCAGATTTAAAAAAAACCTGCCCCGACTGCAATCAGAGGGCTTAAAAAAGAGGACACGGACATATAGATTCATAGATGTTAGGGTCGGAAGGGACCTCAATAGATCATCGAGTCCGACCCCCAAACCTACTCTCCAACAACTTGTGGCCATTATTCCTTGTTATCCCTGGGGGGTGCTAGGGGAAACAAGGTCTGCCCCAACCCCTTCTGGTCCCCGCTCAGCCTTCTCTTGTGAAGGCTGAACAGGTTCAGGTCCTGTAGCCTCTCAAGAGGGGAGACGGATGTCATCAGATGTCAGATTCAGGGCTGCTATAAGTTGGGAAACTAAAGAGATGGTAGTGATAGGATTCAAACCCACACCCCCAGAGAGACTAGAGCCTAAATCCAGCACCTTAGACCACTTGGCCACACTACCAGTATAATAAGTCTATCTTGCGAGCACACACACACTTGATCAAAAGCATTACGGACAGACAGACAGACAAAACCCTTTATTATTCTAATATAATAAAAGTCTTAGTCTGTCTGTTTGTCTGTCTGTTTGCTCATAACACTCCAGGCCAACTGCATATGTGCCACCGATAGGGCAGGCAAGGGTGGGCCGCAGCTGTGGACTGTGCTCAGCCTCTGCTCCCTGCCTCACTGCTGCTGCTTTGACATCGGTGCGGTACAGCACCATGTGCCTCGCTGCCCAGCCTGCCTGGCGGCAGGACTCACATGGCATCACGCCATGCTGCTGTCAAAAGCAGCAGCAGCGAGGCAGGGAGCAGAGGCCAAGCGCTGTCCACAGCTGCTGCCCGCCCTTGCCCCATGCACAGAACGGGGGGCCACAACCCCCCCCTTCGACTCCCCAACACCATGCCCCTGGACAAGCCACTGGGCTCTGATTGCCCCACACCCCGGCCCAGCCAGGGCCCCAGTCACAATGAATGGAAACCCAGCCGGACTGGGTCATGGGACAATTGGAGCCCGGCAGCTCCTCCAGAGATTTAGGGTGGGGCAGCGGGGGATGGGCCTGGACCCTAAGTGGAGGGGCATGGGCCTCTGTCCCTGCCAGCCCATCATTCTTGACAGGCAATATGCTAGTATTAGAATAATGACATGCCTAATTCTTTCACTCTGTGATTTGTTCTGGTCAATGAACCTAACTCCATTTGGGAAACAGACTGTGGGAACATCTACACTGCAAACTGTAGTGCGGTGTAGACATAGCTTAGCTGGCTTTAAACCAGCTGGCCTGGGTATGGGAAGCAGTCTAGCCACAGCAGCTGGCCTGGGCATGGGTTAATTTACCCTGCTGAGAAGCAGCTGAGAAAAATGCTCTCTCTTTATATCAATACAAACCAGTGTTATAAATAAGCAACATAAATCACTGGCTAGATTAAAGCATTTAATAGACAGGAGTTGAGCAAGGCACTCAGAGTCAGGAGTCCTTGATTTTCTCTCTCGTTCTGTCAGGGACCTTCTCCCTAGCCTTGGGAAATACAGTTCCTGTCTGTGTGGGTGTGTCTACACTGCAGTCTGAGGGGTGACAGCTGGGGTACTGTAGCCTGGGAGATGGAGCACCTCAGACTTCAGTGAGGGTTGAGTTGGTCATCAAAGCAGCTGAGGGTGTGGCCAGGCTGTCTCACAATCATAGAAAATAAGGGTTGGAGGGACCTCAGGAGTCCTCGGGGGTGCTCTACTGCAGCCCCCTGCCCAAAGCAGGACCATCCCCATCGACATCATGCCAGCCAAGGCTTTCTCCACCCGGGCCTTAAAAACCTCCAAGGGTGGAGATTCCACCGCCTCTCTGCGGAGCCTGTTCCATGCTTTGCTGCCCTCCTGGTAAAAAAGCTAGTGTCTTGCCTGCGCTCCCACCGCGGGCAGGGGTGGGCCCGCACACGTTCAGCGGGCTGCGCACCCCCGACTGATGGGCAAACCAAGAGAGGTGGCAATGGTGGGCCCTGTTGCCGTGTGGGGCGCCACACTGCTCTCACGCGTGGGCCAGGGGGCGGCTCTCCGTGCCTCGGTCTCCACCGCCCACCCGGCTTCTGGCAGTGCTTTGAGCTGGGCCTGTGCCTGTGCCTGGCAGGCAGGGCTGGGGCTCAGCACCCACACGCTGGAGGAGGCCGGGCGGTGGCCGAGGCAGGGGCAGAGACAGGAGACGCGCTCCCCGCAAGGAGCCCCGGGGCGGGCGTGTTGCACCCCTCCGCCACGTGCGTGGGGCAGCGGGCTGGCGGAGCAGGGCCGCCCGATCTACCGCCTCCCTGGCCAAACCGCGGGGCGGGGGGCTCCCTCCAGGGTGCGGCAGGGCAAGGCCTGGGGGTCGTGCCTGGAGCTCAGCCCTCGCGCTGCTGCGG